TCCATAAGTCAAAACTATTATGGTTCAAAATGGAAGTTCTTAAGTGAGATATAGAAAATAAAGCACTACAAAAATGTATAAGTTTTAACCAAATTTAGGGGTATATTTACAAATATCTTTAAAATTACAAAAATACCCTAAGTAGTCCTTCATTTATTTAAAGATAAAAATATGAATCGTGAAGGCTAACTTACTAAAGTTAATTTTTAATCAACTAAATAAAAACCCTTAAAAAATATTGATAGGTTAAATGAAGGTGATTTAAGTATGAAATTAAATATTTACAATTACACCCCTCTTGGTAAAACTAGAATAAATTTCTTCATAGAATTTCAGATTGAGTAAGGTCTTATCCCATAGATTAATTGAATCAAAAGGAGTGAAAGTATACAAAAATTATCTTAAATTATTAATATATTCAATTATTTTCTATTTTAAAATTGGCTGATAAATCAATAATTCATGAAAAAATTAGATGAACTTGAAATGGCTTAAAAATTTTTCGATAGTGTTTAGAGTCACATTCTAAATGTCTTAGCAAGATTTTAATTATTTTGGAGGTCATTTAGATTTATTATGAATTCTTAAAGAAGATTGTCTTTATAAGCAAAATAATTCTAAAAAATTAAATAAAATACTAAATTTCACAAAAATTTAACCAAACACTTTTTAACTCAAAAAGCAGCTATAAAAATTTATTTCACACTATTTTGAAATTATTTAAGTTAAAGTATTTATAGCTCTAAAAATTACCTATTTTCTCAATAAAATACTTCATAAAATTTATAAAACAATTAAAACTTCTAAAAATATAATAATTGAGTTCATAAGAACCATCTTCACTTTCCTAAGTGATTTGTAGGGTCTCATAAGCTCTAGTAAATTAAAACCCTGATGTTTGTTCTCCAAAGAATATGCAGATCAATCTATTTTAATATATATATACATATATATATATATGTTATAATAATAATAATAATAATAATAATAATAATAACAACAACAAAATAATAATAATAATTCACTCTTTGGATTTATGAGAATTTCTTGGATAAGGTAGCCCATGGTTGTTAACAAAAATTCTTTGGTCTAAAGAAGTTTAGACTAAGTAAATTCAAAACAAACAGTTGTGTCAGGACGACGAAACCATGAGATCTTGATCGACGTCATTTAACATAAAATAAAATCCCCCCTTTCAATCATTTTAATAATAATAACCATCAATTTGAGAAACACTTCACAAGATCACGACAAACAATTACGAGGACCTAGAATAGGCCTCACAGGACATAGTTTCTCTCTTACTTTTATAGAACTAGGTGCTGATGCAATCAAGAAGCTATCAACCTTCAGGGCGATCAAGAGAATACAAAAACATGAATCAAATGATGAACCTCAACTAAAGTTTTCATAGACCTAATCAACATAAACCCCCAGAACTTCGAGATCGTTCGTCTAGTACGACGTAAATCCTCAGACTATTTTTTAGGTCTTAGCAAGATTTCATGTCGTGCATTATAAAACCTAACTCTTTTTAGGATCTTCAGGACATTGCTAGGTACAACATAAATCCTTCCGTCTGCTTAGGTTATTTGCATGATTGCATGCCATGCAAATGTAAGCCTTAAATTTTAAATAAATTAGAGGAGTAAAACGTTAAATAACATCACTTCCAAAATGTAAAGCAAAATCATAGGATAGTTTGAAAAGTCACTGAGGTCTTCTCAATATCTACAACATCTTCTACCTTTTGCTCATTTGTATTCCAAAATAACTGTTTCACATTGAGCATTTCCCAGTTGATTTTCTTATGATAAATCGCAAAAACAAAACTTTGAATTTTTGAAGACAAAACCCTGATCTTAATCGAGAGTTTTCTTAAGTGAATTTAGTCACTTATAATTTAATTAACTATCGGGGCTTGCACCTATAAAAGAATTAGTAACCCAGATAATCTAAACCTACCTAGTCTTCGGGCTAGATAGAGAAATGATTATTGGAAATTTCTTACAACAAATAAATATCATAAATTTCTTAGCTTGATTAATCGAGACATTATCGAGTGATATTCTCATCTTTCAAAATGAAACAATACTTGTAATATTGTGCTCGATTATTTAAACCATTAAATAAATGGTTATATATGAATTTCTTGGATAAGGTAGCCCATGGTTGTTAACAAAAATTCTTTGGTCTAAAGAAGTTTAGACTAAGTAAATTCAAAACAAACAGCTGTGTCAGGACGAAGAAACCATGAGATCTTGATTGACACCACTTAACATAAAATAAAATCCCCCCTTTCAATCACTTTAATAATAATAACCATCAATTTGAGAAACACTGCACAAGATCACGACAAACAATTACGAGGACCTAGAATAGGCCTCACAGGACATAGTTTCTCTCTTACTTTTATAGAACTAGGTGCTGATGCAATCAAGAAGCTATCAACCTTCAGGGCGATCAAGAGAATACAAAAACATGAATCAAATGATGAACCTCAACTAAAGTTTTCATAGACCTAATCAACATAAACCCCCAGAACTTCGAGATCGTTCGTCTAGTACGACGTAAATCCTCAGACTATTTTTTAGGTCTTAGCAAGATTTCATGTCGTGCATTATAAAACCTAACTCTTTTTAGGATCTTCAGGACATTGCTAGGTACAACATAAATCCTTCCGTCTTCTTAGGCTATTTGCATGACTATATGTCATGCAAATGTAAGCCTTAAATTTTAAATAAATTACAGGAGTAAAACGTTAAATAACATCACTTCCAAAATGTAAAGCAAAATCATAGGACAGTTTGAGAAGTCACTGAGGTCTTCTCAATATCTACAACATCTTCTACCTTTTGCTCATTTGTATTCCAAAATAATTGTTTCACATTGAACATTTCCCAGTTGACTTTCTTATGATAAATCACGAAAACAAAACTTTGAATTTTTGAAGACAAAACTTTGGTCTTAATCGAGAGTTTTCTTAAGTGAATTCAGTCGCTTATAATTTAATTAACTATCGGGGCTTGCACTTATAAAAGAATTAGTAACCCAGATAATCTAAACCTACCTAGTCTTCGGGCTAGATAGGGAAATGATTATTGGAAATTTCTTACAACAAATAAATATCATAAATTTCTTAGCTTGATTGATCGAGACTATTATCGAGTGATATTCTCATCTTTCAAGATGAAATATTACTTGTAATATTGTGCTCAATTATTTAAACCATTAAATAAATGAGATCCGTTTGATCTCATTAATTTTTCAAACTTTAAAATTTTATTTTTCAAAATTATATATATATATATATTTAAAAAGAAAAACCAACAACGTACACTTGTGTTGTACAACCAACTTACTATGCGATAAGTTTTGGCGCGTCAATATTGGAAATATATTACATTGCTTTAAATAAGTAAAAAAAATGTTGATTGTGATGTTAATGGTATAAGGTATATGAATTCAAAACAAAAAAAAAAAAAAAATATTTTAAACAGATTGGAAATTCTATGTGTGGATGCACTATTTTTTAAACAGATTGGAAATTCTATGTGTGGATGCACAAAAAATATTAAAGTGATGTCTGGCAGAAAATTAACAAAACATGAATGGACCATATTGAAATATATCATAAACTATTTATGTTAATCTCACATGTCTGTATGACTAGATGAACAATGCATTAATTACTTCAACAACTTATTTGTCTCTTGTTGGATTTCTTAAAATAGTGATTTGGATGACCAAACATGCTGTCATGTTGAGATAGGCCCATTGAGTACTATAGGTATGATAACATCAGCTCTCACCATTAGAATATTTTATGAAGATAAATTTTGAGTAAAATGGACTGATTTACTTTACAAGTCGCTATAAGCTTATGTACAAAATTTTTGGACCTAAGCTAACAAGTTTTAACCTTTTTATGCCATTTTGAAAACATAAAAATTATTTTGTTTTATTTTTCTATAATGACATCCTTTTCAACAAAAAATGTCATCACTTTACAACAACTCAGATTGGTTATGCATTAGTACAAAAAAATTGACATATCAAGTTAGACCCGCCAACTCTTGAAAGTCCATGGGTCAGTTTATGACAAGTCGAGTTATGCCCACTAACCTGTGAAGTCAATATGTAGGTTAATTGGGTTCAAATGTAACTAGTCGCCAACACGACAAACATGACATCGACAAGTCATGAATCTGCCAATGCCTCCTGATAACTCATTGAGTCATCTGGCTTGTTGCTTGACAGTAGAATTAAATTAAAACTACCCCAATAACTAATTTGTGTAGCACCTATAAATAGTTAATTTAGCCCTAACAAGCTTGGCATCCTATTTACTCATTGACTCCTCCCATCAATCAATTGTTGAGGTTATTGCAATATTACGACATAAGAGGCGGTACGACTTTGCTTTCGTTGCACGATACATTTCAATACCACATGTCATCTTGTATTTTGATAATCTTTTCATCAATATAATTTTGATAATCTTTTCATCAATATAATCAATAAAAGGGGGCATACAACTCTGCATCTGCTGCAAGATACATTTCAGTACCATATATCATCTTGTATTTTTACAATCTTTTCATCTATACATTCAATCAATGTACCCCTTCATATGTATCACAAGTGTAAATGACATCATGATGAAATATACAATATAGAAACAAAAGATGTGAAAATACAAGCCAAGCCTCATTTCTTTTGATATTCCCAAACTCTATTGATCCTCTCTCTTTGGTTAAGAGTGTTGTTATCATAGAATATGGGTCCAAGCTATAAAATAATGGTATTGTTCAATATTGCAAAAACAATTTACTAAATTGCTTGGAAAAGAACCTATTATAATATCTATGAAATTAGCCTATCAGCTTTCCCACAACATAGACACAGGATATCATTACACCTCAGCAAACAAATCAGAATAAGAAAACATCATTCATCTACTAAACAAAGACAGTTACTGATTTTCAATTGTAGTAGTTCAACAAAACAGGCAAGCAGTGCATTATTATCATGTAAGTTAAGCCATTCAATTATCAAAAGAATGCCATAAAATTTGAAATATTTTGTGAAATAAACACCCAGAACTTGAAGTATTGCCTCTTGCTCACAATAACAAATCCATATGCTATTGTAAATAACTCTAAACTTCAGCTTTAGCTTCTGCTGTCATCGCAGGGGTCTGCTTTTCTGCCATTTCCAAATTCAAATTTGAATCTGTATCATTCTCTGCTTCAGTGTCTGGTTTTATATTCTTTTCTAATTTGTCACTCTTCACATTCATGTAGAAGAGATATAGAATTATTTGAGCTACACCGAAAAAAAATCCAAGAACATTTGGTAACTGCAGCAGACATAGAAGGAAGATGAAGTTTATGTCAAGCAAATTAAAATTTTCATATTTAAAAAAAAAAAAATCTAATCATAAAGCATTCACTGGGTAAGGAAAATCTACCGCTATATAGAAATCTTTTAGGAGAAGCCCATAAAAGAACCAGGCAACTGCACTTAGAGTTAGGAAGAGGGAGAGTGAAAATGGCATATATTCCACGCTTTTGGTTCTTATTACTAACCTCTGCAACAAAAAAAGTCTTATTGAGTAAATTTAAATTCATTTTGATTTTAGATCTAATAATTACCAAACAAGTTAACTACAACCCTTACAATAATATTACTTCAATTTAATAAGTTAGAAAAAATAGTTTGCAAGTCTTTAGAGGTTAAGGGCCTGTTTGGGCAGCTACAACTGTTTGAAGAAGCATGTGTGAAACTGCTGAAGAAGAAGCGAATACTCAAAAAATTGTGGTGTCTATTCAATTTTTTTTTTTTTGAAAAAGGAAAAATGCAATAGAAACCACTACATTCAACCAGATTTGGTGGCAAAACAAAGTTTTCATCTGCAGTTTTTGAAAAAACAGTCAAAACATAAACAAGAAAAAGTGAGGTGCGGCGCCGCACCTCATCACCTCCCCAAACACACCCTAAGAAAACATTTATATCTACATTTATAAATTTTTAGAGATTATTTTTCACTTGCCATGATGCTTAGAGGAGCAACGAAGACCGAGACTGCAAAGGAAGCACAAATCCATCCAGTGATTTGAATACGTTTTCTCCCATCTAGAAAGGTGAGCGTGCTCAGAAGTACAGAACCAAACAGGCAAACATTGAAGAAGAATATCATCTTTGCTGTAGAAACCTGTTAAAAGAAAATGGACTTGTAAAATAGGTTTTTTTAGTGCCATGTATAGCTAGCCACATGCAAGAAAGAAATAGAAGCATAATTAGAGCTTTATGAAACATGATGGAGTTGCAACCATTTTAATAAAAGCTTTATTTGGTTGGGCTTTCTAAGAAATTTATTAGAAGGAGATGTATAATATTATGTAATAATTGTAGAGGAGTTAACAGAGGGTCTTCTCTCTATATCTGAGACTCTACTTGAAAACATATTCTAACCTCTAATTTTCAACCCGGGTTTCATTTAGGCTCAACTTTATCAAAAAAAAAAAAAAGTATAACATACTTAATTGAAGAAAGAGATGAGTGATTGATGTAATATAACAATTCAAATTCTTTTCCATATAATATTTAATATTATTATGAAGAAATAAAAAATTTGATGTATAAGAAGTTTATGCTTATAAGTTGGATCTATTATTAAATAAATAACACACATACAAATAATGACAGAAATAGTAAGTGTTTGTGGTTGGCAAATGGCAATCAAAATCTCAAATTTAATCCAATCTATTTTAGCCATAGCCATTCATAGTATAGAAATTTCGGCTATACTTCATCTGCCAACCATGTACTGGGTATTTTGAAAGACATTCATAGTCAAATATGAATGGCATAAAGAAGTAAGTTAAAGACAAATGAATGAAAAAAAATGAAAGATTGCTTAACCAGTAATTAAAATATAAGCAAAACATTTGAAACAATTACCATATTGATGCTTGCTTGAGAACAAAGCCAAGAAAGTTTTCATGATACATTACACAAGAATAACTGAAATAATAAATGCTGAACATTTTCAGTTTAAATATTAGCAAACATTAAATAGTAATGTATTATTAATAACAAGTAATAATGACAACAAACTTTAATCAAGTTTCTGTTTTCCTTTTTTTTTTTAATTTTATGTGCATAATAAGTAATGTTAATGTGGAAATCAATACAATGAGAAGCAAAAACAAATTAGATTGCTAACCCTGAGTTTTTTGGAAGCATAGAAAAGGTAGATGGCTAAGTAAGCAGATTCTAGCACACAGGTGCTTGTGTTGATGGTGAGCAGAAGCACGTTGTGGGAAAGTAAGGCATAGTAGAGCCACAGCATCGCACTGGACAAAGCCACCGCATATGGGGCTGATTGATATGAACCAGTGGACTTCTTCTTGTACACATTATAGAATGTGGCCCTTCAAAAACAGAAGCACCTCTAATGAATTAGCTGATCATAATCAGATGATTTCACTGAGGTTTTAATAAGATTAGAGCCACAACATTGAATTAGATTTATACTTTATTTTTCATGTATCGTATCAACTATAGGTGTGATATACTATAAGAAGGCAATTACTCAATTTAAATCCTCTTAGTCATTTAAAAGTTGCATTTTTTTTAACACTAAAAGCTGTTAGAAGAAAAAAGTTCTCACATTGGTGTTAAGGTGACCAAGAATGATAGAATGTTCCCTGTAGACAAGTGAAAAAAACTGTCAGAAATAATTATCCTCAAAGTAATAAAACAAACAACTAAAAAGCTTAAACACTGATGGAAGAGCCAATATTACGTGCGGAGATCACGTAAATATTTATGTACGGAGAACGCACTCAGCTCTCCGTGTATAATCCCCTCCCAATAAACACTCAATAACTCCTGCCAAGGTTATTGGGGGATTATTGCAAAGTTATTTCGGCACTATTTGAAGCCAATAACCTAACACCGAAGAAAATGTGAAAGTGTAACTGCGGAATGTGAAAGTCTGATCGCGGAGAGTACTGACTCCAAATAACGCCGAAATAACTCCGCAATAACACCCCAATAAACTTCGCAGAGATTATTGAGCAGTTATTGGGAGGGGATCACGCACCGAGAGCTACGTGCGTTCTCCGTACGTAAATAGTGCTTGCGGAGATCGCACATGCGGATCAGTGGCATTGGGATGGTATTCAGCGCAATATCACCCTAATAACACCTCAATAGCATCTGTATTTAGTCCAGATCTTGTTCGTCCGCACGTACTATTTTTACCTGATCAAGAGAATGAGAGAGAGAGAGAGAGAGACAGAGAGAGATTGAATGATTTTTACCAAGAAGGCCAACTCCAAAAGCCAAGGGGTTCTCAATGCTAATGGACACCATCTTTAGTTAAGAGAGTATTTGCTCCTCTTAAAAAATAGAGTTCAAAAACTTCGATGGTGCAAGTCACTCAGCCTTCACATCTACTATTTATACAAAAATTTGGTAGGAGTTCGAGTTATAACACAACCAAACGACCTAACTAATAAAAAATCTAATCAACTTTAGAAAAGTATAGTTTCATCTTTTATAATAATCAAGACATTTCTACCCATAAGATATAACTTCAATTCATCTAATACAGGAGAAACAATAAGGTGGTTCAAATTCACAATTTATGACCTTATTTCAGTATATTTCATATAGGTGTGGAAGCTAAACACAACAAGCATAATATCTAATCATCATTAGAAAAGATACTGTACTCATTGTTTATATCGTGCAAAATGTTATGGAAATCAATAGTATATATATCAAGTTGTCATGCTCTGGGCAAGCACTTGATTAAAATAGGTATTCTTCATGTACTCTCATCGCTCTCATTGCATCCTATATTTGCATGTTAGCTGTACATATTTTGCAACACGCAAAACATTGCATTCTTCATACACGAAAACTTTGCATTAACTGTGAACAGCTTTCATGCTATAATTGGCAGGTTTTGGTTCAATTTCATGGCTTGTTTTGATTGGGTGATTTGATGTAAAGCATTTAATACTTGGAGAGAAAGAAAGTGATGAGTTTTCAGGATTCATGATTCAGCTAAATATAAATAGAATTTGTTTAGGGTTTAATGAGATTTTTATCAATTGAGTTTTTAAAATTAGTGAATTTATATTTGAGGAGGGTGTAATTTTATTATTCATTAAATATTATTTATTGTACTTAGTTTAAAATTAATTCAAATTTTAAAGCTTATCATGGCAAATTTTTTACCTGGCAATGGAAAAAACTTGTGTGTGTATCTAACTATCTATATATATGTGTGTGTGTGTACGCGCGCGCGCCTTTGTTCATCTGACTAATTGGTTGCGGCATTTGGTGTAAGTCCCTCGGGTCGTCTATCTATATATGTGTGTGTGTGTACGCGCGCGCGCCTTCGCTCACCTGACTAATTGGTTGCGGCATTTGGTGTAAGTTCCTCGGGTCGGGAGTTCGATCCTTGCGTAGAATCGAATTGCACACCTGTCTGGAAGGAGAGTCCGCACCTCGGTCAGACTTTGAAATATATATATATATATATAATGACAATAATAATAATAATAATAATAATGAAAAAAAATAAGAGAGCTAAGGAAATGGCTCATAAAAGAGAGAGCTCAAAATAATAAAACTAAAGGACAAAAGTAAGAAGAGTTCAACCAATAAATAAAAAAATAAATACATAAATAAATGAATATAAAAAAAAATTTAAAGAGTAGGATATGTAGTGAATGGCATTATAATTAAGTCATATAATTTAAAACTAAAGTTTCCATTTGAATCAATGAATCTTTGAACCCTAGGGGATACTTAACGGTCATCCATGATTCTATCAAAGGCTTGATAATAGTAATTTTAACCTCAACTTTATGATTATGAGAATATGTCTTATAGTATATATGTGTTTTATGCAAATTGATTTATCTCATTTAGTAGGATTTGATGTATCTCTTGCTCTTCTTGATTTGAGGTTTGATTATAAAATAATTTCAATCATATGTGTGTACTCAATGAACAATACCCTAAATAAGTATGGGATTTATTCACCTTCATGAACTTAATATACTATCAATCTTTACATGAGGCCTTCTAAACATGGCAAACTCAAGGACCCAATGAATTGTCCTCTACCTTATGGTTTGAATAGCTTTATAGTGTGGACTATTCTTGAAGGTTGATATTGAGTAATATATACATATCTCATTCATGAACGAGATATCCATATGCAATTTAGTCATTTCATTGGGTTTGGGATGCAAATACTCAATTGATGAAACAATCCCCTCGATGATGTCCTTGTACCGGCATTACAAGAATTTAGCATATTACTGACAGTTAATACCATCAATAATAACGAATAAATCGTATGTAATATATCTACCGACAATCTAACTACAACAAAGTTGATGTAGCAAAAAAATTTTGTCGGTAATTAAATTACCAATGAATTTAACAACAGTTTACATTAATCGATGGTTAACCGACGTACTATAACCGTCGCTTAGATTCAAAAATATGTCATGTTTAATTGTAGTTTGACCATCGATTATGTAACCGATGAAAACATTCATAAGAAAAGTTTTACAGTTCCGTCAGAAAAGTGACACGATTATGTCGATAAATTGATTCCAAAATTTTGGTAAATCATGAGAATTTACCAACAACATTGACCGTAACAAAAGTGCAGTACTTTGCCCAGACGTTGCTTATTAAATAGACCATCGGAAAACCATCGCTTGTTCAATAAACCTTTGTAATACTGTCGATAAGCCGTTGAAAGGCGGCACCATAAAAAAAAAAACAGATATAAGACCCTCTTTCAACGCTGCAATCTACACTCCTACAATTGTAACAAATCAATCAAAACACAATACAACACAGTAATAAAGCTAATTAAAGCATTAATCATATGCATAAACAAAAGAAAAACAATTGAATTAAAACAAACGAAATGCACATATGGATAATAAACTAATATTCGCATACAATAAAATGTTCAGTACAAAAGAAGAAAAAAAAACTACTCATCCTCCTCATCGTCATCCCCACCTCATCTTGCAATGACTCCTTCCCTTTCTGCAGTTATGAACGCAGCACCGCTTCGATCTTTGTTTTAACTTCAGGGTGGCTACTTGGGCAACAACCTCAATAGTAACATGGCGACACATCTCCTCCTATGAAGTGGAAGTGGTCACATTAGATTTCAAAGTGAATTTCTATTTTGGGAATGGAAATTAGACTTTGCATTGGAAGATGCAGTAAAAACTCTCACGCCATACAAAATATTTCCTCGTAAGAACATATGTTGAGGTGTGCAGTTAATCACACATGGGGTTTGTGAAGATGAGAATGTTTAGATTAATGACCGGATTTACACTTTGAAAATAAAATTAAAAATAAAAATTGTGCAAGGTTTGGTGTAACTATGGTGATAAACAATATTAGATCCAAAAATTCAAAAAAATAAAGAAAGATTATCGATCTTTAACAGCCCTGATAGCCTCAAGTAGGTTGTTAGTATTTTAACTTCAAGCTTACTTGTGGTCGCTTGAAAGAAATTTGGTTCAAATTTTTTGGCTCAAAAGTTGGTCATTGATTGTGATCCACACTTTATCTGAGCCAAAATTAAAATCATTCAATTTTCGAGTGATTTTTGTTATTCAAGTTATTTGAAACGTTAAGTACTTTTTTAATGTGTTGATTATTATCAGATTTGATCACCTTTTATTACAACTCTGTCAGTAGATCTACTACAAGTCAGATCATTTAACATTCAATTAATGTTAGTTCTGTCAAAGATCATCAATCGGTCGAATATTGATTCATAATCCATTAGGATTTCTCCCTCTAATATTATATACCATAGTTTCTACACTAGCCCTTGCACATATATATTTGAGTTATATTTTGTCTCCAAGTGAAAAGTCAATTATATACCTAAGCATCCTTGTCTGTGCAACTTTTAACTATGTTATTTTGACACCTTTTTTAATGAATTCTGATAAGAAAATGTCTCATATGACATAAGAGTGTTCACTTCATCATCAATGAGAATCTAATTCCCATTTCCAAAATGAAAATTCACTTTAAGCATTATGTTCATGAAATTACTTACAATCATTTTACCTATGAGCTTGAAGTCGTTGATAGACCATCGAAAACAATAATAGCGACAGTGTTTTTCATTAAAACCAATGAAATTTGGCTACCTCTTTATTTTTGTAGTTATTTTTCCTTTCATTCTTACTATTTTATCAATATTGATTAATAGATCATGAAGAAATATATATTGAAAAATCATGCTATTATCATAAAAAGGTCCCCTAAGCACTCTTAGCCTTAATTTTGACATGGGTGGGGGTAAGATGTTCTAATAAGAGAGCACACTAACCTAGCTTCTCAAGAATGCCAAAAGAGGAGATGACAAGGGGCATAAGGGAGAGTTGGATCAAGGTAATCTTCCAATGGGCTAAAATCTTGAGGTGTTAGGGGAGAATGTTAGAGCAGAAAAGATAGGAAGGAAAAGTTTAAGGAGAAAAAAAAATCATTTGGGTAGTTGAAGAAAAAGTTAAAGTGGTTATGAAATCTACTAGTACTACAATAAATCTCGATTTGTTGGAGACAAACTTAAACATCGAGATGATGAGAACGTCATTCTTTCCTGCTTTCTACCACTTTTAAAATCTCATAGAGTTATGGTAAGTTTTGTTTAGGTTGAATGGTAGAGAAAAATGATATATATATATATATCAATTTATATATATATATATATATATATATTCTAGCCTGTTATATGCTATTTATCAAACTTTAATATTAGTATAATTCATGCATCCTAATAATTCCTTATACAATAATTAGTTATTTACTCGATGTTGTGAAGCTTCATGCAACTGAGAATTATGATTTAATTTATATCATGGTATGTTTTTTCTATTTTTAAGACATGATGTTTCATGTCATTCAATTTTATGAACCCAAAAATGCATCTTTAATATGAATTATATAGGTGGTTTAACATGCTTTTATTTATTAAATTTCGACAATTAGTGACGCATCCTGTTATATAGCTTTGAACAATTCCTTACAAACCGTAAATAAAGAACATCTAAGAAATTTTTATCATGCATAGTAGTTCATAGTTTGTGCCTCACCTACACATACACATCATTTCATTTATGTTTACATATTCATTCATATTATATTTGCATATTCCTTGAGTTAGCATTATAGGCCTTGAAGGGTGTTGATATTTTGAAACTTCATATCACATAGCAACATAGTATAATATATATTATATATATTATGTTGAAATCTTCCATGATATTAAGACTTTTAATGTCTAAGCTACATATTGTAAGCTGTTAGATCGATCCTCTTGTGTTCAAAATTGAATGTAAAATGCA